TTTTAGTGTCTCCATGTCCTAGCTCTAGTCATTAATAAGATAAAATAAAGCGTTATAAACAGATGTTTATTCTCTTTTCATTTCAGGAAAGTTTTAATTCATTAGGTAAAGTTAATAATTGATTTACTTTTAATGATCACAAACGAATCTTTAAAAACTTTATCTAATATAACACAAAATTGTATCTTATAATAGCATTTTTATTACAATATTGTTATGTATTTTATTTTAGTGAATATAGCAAAAGCTATAAGAATATTATAATAGAATAAAATTAATATTTTATAACTGTATATAGTTTGAATCAAATTTTTTATTTTAAAAAGCATGCAGTGGAAATTTAGAGACGCAGAGATCCTGTGAGGAATAACGTTTAAGAATCTTAAATGATTCTTATAATTATGAATACACGTTCCTCTGATATCATTGAAAATCAGTATTTTATTTTCAGTGACAGTTATTAATAATGTGGACGGCTAAACGGCTAAGACGGAAAAAGATCAAACTGCTGCTCTGGAAACTATAAACCTAAAAAGTTGTTGGTAGGTGATCTCTTCACATAGATCTTTCACCACTCATTATCTCTGACAGATATTCGAATTTCATCCTTCATCTATTGTGGGCTTGGCCAAACCCATAATAAGATTGTCATAAAAGCTTTTCCTGTTCAATTGTCATAATAATTAAAAAAAAACTGCCTGTCAAAATTTTCATTGTGGTCCAGACCAAACCTTTGATAATCATAAAAAACATCCTTTTAGTGCCTACAAAGGAAACGTTAATTCAAAAATGAAACGGGTTTCGGATTTAACAGATAAAAAATTTTGCTGCAACGGAAATAACTATAGGATTTTTCTTTATTCGCTAATAGAGCATCACAGGGGGCGGGTCAATGAGTTAAATATATCAATCACTACAAATTACTCAATGTACATTATAATTATATTTTTTTACTTATACATCGAAACAATATTTAAAAATATGTTGTGTATTATAAGTTCGCTTAATATTTTGTTTTAAAATGCATTCAATTTAACAGACTTTCGGCAATAGGAGACACTGCTAATTATTCTGTTAAATTGAGGGTATATGCATGTACTCTATATGAAATATATATACTCTATATATGATTATAATTGTCTCGTAAAACATTTAAAATCATTATTTGTGTAATGCGGATTCTCATTGGTTATTATGATTTTTTATTGCTTATTTTCATTATATAAACCGTAATTTTTCGAATGAAATGCAATCAGGGAATATTTTCGAAAGGTAACAAGTTAAACAATAATTATACGATCGTATATAAACATTAATTGTTTTTGTTTTTAGGTATAAGCTGATTATTATTCTTCTTCTTCAAAATCATGAAAGCTTTTTATGATATTTTGATAATCTTACTCTTTTGTACCATGTGTAAGTTTGCTTTTATCTTCGTTCTTTATTTATGTAGTACATGTAATAATATAATTTATTCTAAATTTGTACATTTTAGTCAATTTGAATGAATCAATAACTATAAATGTTAAATGTACTGCACCCCAACAATGTTTAAAACCGTGTAAAAAAGCTTTCGGAATGTCTGCAGGAGGAAAATGCATAAATGGAAAATGTAAATGTTATCCTTAATGTATCATCTTTTCAAGAAGAAATCTCTACATCTTATTCTGAGAGCAATGAGATTATAATTTTCTGATATTAAAAAAGTTATAAACTTAAACATTCTACAGAAGTTAAGAATTTATTCAAAATGCTATCTTAATGTTCAATACTGGTTTAAAAATAAGCCTAATACAGTGGGTGATCGGTTAACGAATAGTTCGATAACGAATACTTTCGCGAAAGATTTTTATATTCAGACAACGAACAGTTCACAGAACATACAGAAATAGAAGCGACATTTCATAGTGAAAACCGACTGGTCTCCAAAAGGTTTCAAATTATCACCTCTCCAGGTGACAATTTGAAACCTTTTGGAACTCTGAAGACGTCGACATCGACCCTCAACCTCATACCGATCGAATAGTATTCCTCCGAACTTTCAAACTCTCCCTTGTTAATTCCAGCCATTTGCTTATCTTTCTAACAAATAATTTTTTATAGTCTTCGCGAGACTGTCGGGCAGGTACTCGTTAAGTTTTGCGTCGGTTTTTATTTACGAAAAGCGAGAGTTTAACTGTCCCATCGGATATTCGTTAAGGTTTTGATACCAAATTTCGAATTTCATTCGGGCCTCGCATTTAAATAATTTTTGTGCGCTAGTTGAATTTTGTTCTTTCAATTTTTGTAAATGCTTTTCTGAACGTATTGTTTAAAAAAGAAACTGATAATAGGGATCTCTACAATTACAATTACAATGCTATTAATTCCGAAAAATTCTAAAGAAGAGAGAAAAGCAATCGACATTGGACAGATTGTTTAACCCTCACAAACGGAAAAAAGCAAGACTAATAAAAATTCAAGACTGTGTGTATATGTATTTTTACTAGCTGTTACCCGCAACTTCGCTCGCGCGGATTTTACAAGCAAACACCATTTATATTCAGTATTTCCACAACCATAGTAATTGTTATATAACACCTACCACTGAGAATGATGAGAATTGCTGAGAAACAAACGAACTGTTTTTGATTTGATAA